GCAGACAGAGGTTGTTCTATTTGGTATATGAATGTGAACTGGTTTTCATTGCAGACTTTTCAAGGGTTGGAGCAAACGAGCATGCAATCCAAGATGAGAAGAGATTGAATTCCCAACAGTTGAAAAGAATTTCCAAAACTATTTTACGCATGAGTATTGCCATGGGAGTTGCTGGGGGTCTTGAGTCAGCAGGACCGGTTGCGGCAATGGCGCAGTCACCATGCGCAAACATGGACAATGAGACCAAGGACACATCATGGTTTTCATTTGCAATTGCGGTTTTGGTGATTTGCATTGGTACTGTGTTTCCAAAGCTGGTATTCAGAGCATGGAAGTGGATTGATGGAAAAGTCAAGAAGCTGGAATATCAAGTGTTGGGTGTTTCAAACGAGTTGGAGCAAACCCAGATCCAGTTAGCCGATCACTATGAGTATGCAGCTGATTTGAATGGAAAAATGGAAGATTGCAACGCTTTGGCAACAGACGCGTCAAACAGAGTTGACACGGTGATGGCTAGACAGACAGGTTTTGAACAAGAAACTATTGAAGGTTTCAATGCTCTGGAGGAAACCTCAAATTGCGTGAGGTATGGATTGATGGAGATAGGTGGTTTTGTCAGGAACGCCAAACTGACAGCCGAGCAGTATCGACATATGCTGACGCAAGAGAGAGGAAACTTGGCGCTTTGGAATCATAGAAACCGTGCAGATTCAACTGACCCAACTGTACATCAGCAAGAAGATCATGAAGGAGGAGAAGAGGAAAGTCCAACAACAGACGTGGAGGATAATCAATTCAATAAACCTACTGGAATGGAAACCCTCTTACAGAACTTGAGAGCAGATCAGAACCAAACTCTTGCAGCAGAACGCTGGCATGAAGCTAGCAACATTCAGCAGGCAATTTGCCTGGCGCTAGATTCCTCTGCAGGAGATCCACCAGAGGGATTCAGTACAAGGATTTCAAATGAAATCAGAAACATATTCCAGAGGCTATACCGTTTTCACCGTAACAGAGGAGATGACGAACGTCGAGACAGATTTAAGCTTTATGTCGAAGACATACAGAGCTTGATGGTTTGAGAGATGGAATTCGAAAATGTTTTCACTGGATGATGCAGAATCAGACAGCAGAGCTGAAATTTGCGTTGAGAGGTGAAAATTTATGGAGTTGTGGAATGAGCCACGCTCAAGCCACAAAGGAGGAGTGTGGAAATTTGTGGAGCCCACTCACAGTGGCACACCAAAGAGTGCCCCATCGGCATCAGTTCACTTGTTGCTTCTAGCATTTTCCTTTGAATTGCGCGATACTAATGCAAATGTTGTAACGGGGCGAGGTGAAGATAATTTCCGCATGTGTGTTGCAGTTCCAATAGCATAAATATACCTGTTGCAGTTAGCAGTCTTTGCATGTGCGCCACCAAGAAGTGTTCGGGCAGACATTTTGCATCAAGGAGCAGTTTCTAAAACGCATTTTTTACCGCAAACAGGTAAACCAGAACGCCGGTGGTTTCACCTTTGGCCTAAGAACTATTGGACAGTTTCGACCACTACAATCCACTACATACATATGATTTTGCCCCCTTTAAATTTTGTCATGGTTCCATTGTCCACAAAAACAAAAGCCACGGGACACCATCACTGCACATGCGAGCTGTTGTTACTCAGATCAATGCAAAAACAACCGGCAATATCGAAGACACCCATTGCACACATCTTTGAAACAAACGAAATCTACGTGTGCTCCAATGTTTTTTCAAATGATGCAGCCGAACCTCTTGGGGTCAGTTTTCCAAGCAGTTTTTGAAACCGAATCGATGAAAATTGGTTCCAGGAATGATCTCGTGCTCACTGATTTGGGTTGCAAGACAAATATCATCCTACAGTGCCTGATTCGCACTCTTACCAACAAGTAATCCATGAACTTTTCACACATTCGTGCTGTTTACAACCAATTTTCGGGGTTTAAAGACCAACGAGACATCCCACCGCGTTGCCATGTCATCGCTGTATGAAAATTTACGACAACTCATCACCGTGCCTTGGGGGACAGGATCTGCAATGGGAATTATCGATTTGGAGGTTTCCTAAGTTTTGGGGGTACACCCAAATCATCCAAGTCATTAGACCATTTTAATATATTTTAATATTGAAACCTATGGTTTTGGGGATCCTCAACTTTAAGGAACCCCGATATTATTGAGTTTAATTTGAGTTTAGTTTAATTTGGATTTTGTCTGGAAATTATGGGGAAAATATCTGAAAATATCTGTCCATTAATTGG